GGTGAAAACAAATGGAAAAAATCACAATCATGATTACCATACAGTAAAGAACCGGCAAAGGCTGCTATGATGAAAGATATCCGTACCGAGGCTCGTGAAACAGAAGCTGAACCTATGGAGATCTTGCGCAGTGTATCTCGAGAGTAAGTCCAAAATTAATGAATCTCAAAATGAAGAAAAAAACTTTTTTGCATTTCTCATGCACGATTTTATGGTTGGTTTTATCTGGATTCTTGGGTCATTATAGATATCCTAAAGACATAGCATCTCAATTCTCCGGACCAGTGATCAACAGTTACGTATATCGCGTACGAATGGCGATGGGACACCCAAAAGTACCTAAATCTTTGAATTGGGGAATTTTCTTGATGAGAATGCAGTTATGAAGACCATGGTCGGAGATGATTATGTCGGAGCTGTGCAGCCCACTGATAACGGAACAGGCTATGCATTACTTTTTGCTAATCCAGACATGTTGACGGAGTTAAACTTAGCGACCATTATCGAAGTTGATGGAACAATGAAGGTGGGTGCCGATTAATTGTGATTTACTCTTAATATTATACTAGATTTTCATTTCTACGAATTTCAATTAAAGTTTTATTGATATTTTGATAGACTGGAAATAAGACGTAATTTATATATTGTAGGCTGTTCCAACAAAACCCGAAGCAACACAAATGTGGATTGTAAGCTTCAGGAAACATAATCAGGTACGTTTTAGTATTTTTTTTTAGTTCTGGAATAGTGAATTACTCAAATTTGCCATAACACTTTTTTCAGTCTTTTGCTGCAGTCCATGCCTACTGCCGAGGTGCAAGGGGAGAACTTTATGAAGCAATCTTTAAACGTCTTATTTCATTAGCCCCTGGCCTGCTCAATGTTGAACTGATCATCTCTGATTTTGAGGGCGCAGTGCACAAAGCATGCCGCAAAGTTTTCCCAAGGCCAAGACTGCAAGGATGTTGGTTTCATTTCATCAAGGTAATTTGATCTCTTCATAAAAAAAAGATTAATTTTTTTACCATCCTTTGTATCATGTGACTTCCGTTTTCAGGCAACATCTGAATATCGGAAAGTCAAATGCCAATTGAACCAGCTTGGAGCTCCCCGACAAGCAAAGTACTTGACACGTTCGCTGGCATTACTTCCCCCTCAACAGATTGCGTTGGGTGTGGATGCTATTGAAGAAATCGTCAACTCATTCACAGATGATTTCCCCGAGTTGAAAAGGTACATCAAGTACTTGAGGACACAATGGCAACCGAAGGCTGAATTGTTATCAGTGTACGATTCTGCCATTCGTACGAACAACGATTCTGAGGCTTATAATCGCCATTACACCCCTCGAGTCGGTGGTTCCAAAGTCAAGGTGTTCCCTCTTATTCGTACGTATTTTGCTTTCCCTCTCAACTTTCTATGCATTGAATCTCCAATAATTTCTTATCATTCCGTCAATTATAGGCAATCTGCAATTGATCATTGATGATGAATCGACCAAAATGAGCAGACTAAACAAGGGTAAACCCATCTCTAAAACCAAGAAAACAGCAGAGTATTACAATAAAGATATGCTCATTATGGAGGCCCCGAGCAATTTACAGTCTAAAACACAACACCTGGAAACTTCTGAAAGGTAAATTTTTGAAATGTTTCTCTATTAAAGATGGAGAAAGAGTAAAAAACGTCAATTAATTAAAAACATAATGACACATAATATACAAGTCTTATTTTATCGGTATGTTCAATTGTGTAGAGAACTCATCAGACAGGAGGTATATTGTTTCCTGAAGAAATGCCTCACTCCGAAGATTCAGGACAGGATTAATGAGGAGGAAACTAAACAGTTTACACGAAATGATGGAAATCAAACCAACCAAAATAGAGATAATTCGGGAGAATCCCTGTCCTTAGATCCGGACGATGATGCGGAATATGGAGGTAAAATAATAGTATGTTGTGCCTCCAGGAAGTTAAATATTATCGGACTCATGTGATTATAACCCGACCGGAAGGCGAGTTATAAACTCACATTTCGTCAGAAAATATTTTATTTCTGTTGATTGAATAAGCATTGTAGGCATATATGGCATTAATCGTATTCTTTCCTTCCATTGATACATTTTTTATTTATGTATTTATTAGTTAAGCCGAAACGTAAACGTCTACCAAGATTGAGAGAGCATTCATTTGATCTGCCAAAACAACCATCTGTATCCAGAATCACAGCCCAAGAATGTGAAGACTCTGCAACAGCAATCACTGCCGGAGGAGCGAGTCTAAATAGTGGAACAATTTTCGAAAAAGGTTTGAAATTCATCCATATTTATATCACTTCTTTATCTGTGCTTCAATAATCCTTCAATTCTTATTATTTCAGATGATGAACACATCGATCATGATTGGGTTGTTTTGACCTATCTTTTCGAGGAAGGACACGGGCAACATTGCCCTTACACATTGTAATTCTACAGTAAAAATACTATGTTCAACCCAAATTATATTTATGTCTATGTATTATATTAAATAAAAGTATTGAAATATATCGATATATGCCCCTAGCCGAGATCAACTTTCCTTAATTATTGAATCACTTAAGTCCTCGAATCGCAAATCAAAAATTAACTTGTAATTAGCTCAAAATCATTGAAAATAAATTAGTATCCGATACATCACAAGCAGCTAATTTTTGAAGAATTTTTATCTCCTTATCGTTGCCATGTATACAGCCAGTAGCAGGCTAAGTGGAGGTATTTATCCCCACGCCGCTGCGTGACTCCTCCTTCTTTTCACCTGTGCAATTATCGCGGAATTTAATTTTTTAGAAATATTGCCATGTTCTCGCGATGCATTGCATTTAATCTTTCCTTATCATAGTTTACTTTTTAATTTTTATTAATTTTATTAAATGGCGGGGATAAAAAAATAAGCTGATTAATTTGTCTCCATTCCAATTTTTAATTATTCATAATATCTAACGGTGACGAAACATTTGTAGGTTTCATGATTTATTATTAATCTGTATCATTCTACTAAAATGTATTGAGGTTTCTCTTGCAACCATTAGCTATCGCTATTGTGATTCATAAAATTCAAAATTGACAGTTTGACGAGTTAAGGGCCGGATGGAGGGAATTTTTTCTCGACTGGTGATTTTACGCCCTCCTACTTCGCGGTCAAGACCCGAACCTTGATCTCAAGCGATGCCTTGTCGGTAACTACGGCAATCGCTGGAAACCAGGGAAACATTGGACAGTGGGGCTTTCGAGGGCGCCGGAAAATTTTTTCATTCCTTATGCCACTAAGTGACATGAGAGATTTATATCTCAACAGAGTG